CTCTCTCTCTCTCCTCTCTCTATCAATCAATCCTTCTCTTTTCTACTTATTCACTCATTCACTCACTTATTTACTAATTTATTTATAATTCTTATTGTACGTTCAAATAGACGAATATTTCTACTACTGCTGCGTCGACTGCTGCAACAACAAGATCTGTCGGTCCTCCGTCATCATGTTCTACCGCGGTCTACACTTTATCTGCAGTTGTACCAGTAAGTTACACATTATTTATATTATAATTTTTACACAAACACGCACACATATATGCTTGTTATGTTCCTTACTTAGTTATTTACTCATTTATTATAATTCTTTCGTAGTCCAATAATTAAATCGTTGCATTCATTCAAACAGACAAATGTTGCTTCTACCGTTGCTTGTAATACAATTAAGATCTGCTATTCCTTCGTCATCATCACGTTTTACTGCTGCTATTTCTGCAGGGTCATCAGACGTCTCTGTAAGTTGTACATTATATAATTTTTACACACGTGCACACACACTCATGCTTATTATCTGTCTTATTTAACTCATTTATTTATAATTTTCATTTATAGCGCAATAATTGTTCAGTTATTGGGTCGAAACAGGCAAATTTGCCTCTGTCCACCATTACTTCACCTGTCGCTACAAGACCTTTGTCATATCTTACTGATTGTAGGACTTTTGCAGAACCATTAGTTGCTTCTGTAAGTTATACATTTACATCATAAATTTTTGTTGCAATTATACCCACATACACACACATACGTTTGCACGCATACTCTCATTCACTTACTTACTTACTCATACTTGTTGTTGTACTCTTACACACATTTATTGTAATTTACAGTGCAACATTGTATCCAAAAAATTGGCCACTTCTACCATTCCTGCAAGACCACATGACTTTTTTCCGGCATATTCTACCACTGCTGCAGTTTCTTCTGTAAGTTGCACATTTTTATTATAAAGTTTTATCGCTGCAAATCCAATAATAATAATATACTGCAGTTACTTTTTACACATTTATACGCGTGCTATATTTTTACACATCTCATCTGTGTTTTAGACAGTTATATGCATATTTTTTACACGTTTAATTTTATACAATATTTGTAAACGTGTAAAAAATATGCATTTAGCAGTGTAAAACACAAATATAATACGCGTATAAATGCGTAAAAAGTGACTACAGATTTACACACTTGGATTTGCAGTGTATGTATCTCTTTCTATCTCTCTCTCTCTCTCTCTCTCTCTCTCTCTCTCACACTCACTCATTCACGCATTCACGCTTGTTACCTTCTTTTTATACTCGCATATAAAATTTATTTACTACAATTATAAAATATTGTATATATTTGTGAGAGGATTAATTATTTAACCAAATTTATTTCTTATAACTTGTACATTTATTAAATTTTTTAACTAACAGATACGTGGTTTCACAACCGCTTCGACAGTGGAACCACCCTTTCCACGTTTCGCTGATGCACGTTCCACTGATGCACGTTCCAATCGTGCACGTTTCAATACTGCAGACGCCAATATTCCACGTAATAATTTTTTTTACTTATTATCTATTATTTATTTCATTAATTACTCTAATACAGAATTTTAATAGTCACATTTAATTTATCACGTTTACAGAGAGACGACGAAGAGGAACGCGGGCAGGCGCATACCGTCAACAAGAGCGCTTCATGCGCTTCCTTTATAGATTATCTTCGGCCCATTACAGTTGGGGACATAGAAGACGTCCCAACACAAATGAGGTATTTTTTTCACGTTCGTAAAAAATATCATGTCTTGTAATAATTAATTGAAAATAAATATTGAAAAAAATTTCATTTTTTCCATTTTTTAGCAACGTCCGCCATCGAGACAGGAATAAGAAGATGGATTTTTACTGAAATATTTATTATTTGTATTCGTGAATAAGAGAGATCTCTAAGGGAGAACAAACATTTATAGAGAAGCAGAAAACAGAAAAGTGGAAACAAATTAGAACTCGCTATGGTAGCAAGAAAAGCAAAAAGTATCGATTAGTAGCACGAGTGATTGGTTTCTGCTTTTCTGTTTTCTGTTTCTGTATCAAGGTGTGAATTCTCTCTAAATTAATGGTACACTTTTTTTTCATGTTTTGTTGCGTATGATACTCTCTAAATTAATTGCGAATGATATATAAGTTTTCTTTCTTTCATATATATAAGATTTTTTTGCGTATGATATGTAAGTTTTCTTTCTTTCATTTATATAAGATCTTTTTTTTTTAAACGTATAATGTGAATTTTTCTGAAACATAATGA